GAAGGGTCTTGACTAATCTTCTCAAACATGAGATTTGGGCCTGGTTTTAGTTAAGTATGTCAGGCAGGAAAACCAGTGTTTGTTAATTCTTTTTTTCCCTATTTTCATCTGCTTCTCATTTCCTAGGAGAGCTGCATCTTCTTCTCCAGTGTCTACTTCTACTGCATTCTCCCTCCATCTAATCTTTTACCCTGTCTTTGCCCCTCCTGTTCCACTGGCTGCTACTTCTCTTAATAGTGTTTTTGGGGCTCATGCTTTCTCTTGATGGTCCCTTATATGCTACATCTGTTGGTATTTACACTGCTGTTCCATGAAACGTTTGCTTTCTCAGCTTCCCACGTGAGTATGGGAGCAAAGGTGGGAAGGAGCAGAGGGAGGGGCAGAGCACTGTGACACAGCACACACACACTGCTGGACCCCAAAGTCACTGCTCAGATGGAGTGGGAAGGTAACAGGTCAGCACTGTGCTCTTGTGACACCAAAGAACGTGCATGGTATGGGAGCAAACTATATGAAAATCACTCCCATCTCCCAGTCCCATCACCTTTCCTGCTCCCTGCCTCCAAAGGAAAATGTTTTGGTTTATGCTCTCTGAAGGCTATGGTTAAGGGAGAGAACAACAACAGTTTTATAAATAATGACTCTAAAATAAATTACACTTGAATCAAATGAAAGCTATGTAAATATTCCAAATATTATTACAAGAAAATCTAGAATAGGTTATTATTTATATATAAAAGAAATCTTGTTAGATCAACATTGCTTTTAATGGTAGAATGAAAATTGAATTAAGAAGACGGAAGATTCACATTTTCTTTTTTCCCTACCTTCTTTCTATTAGTAGTCTCTACCCAACCTCATCACTTCTGTTCATGTATTTAACTCAAAGGCAAAGAGCTATGAAGTCTCCATCAGCTGAAAAAAATACAGATGATACTGTTCAGCTGCAAGTTCAAATCATGACAATATTACCTAATTTCTCACAGTAGTTATGAATTTTTCAGGTTTAGCAGAGTCACAGATTGGTAAATGTCCTGAACTAGTTCTCAGGAAGTTCCAAAGGAAACAATACATACGATCTGTACAGGAACAGTTTAAAGGGGGGGGGGGGAAGAGGGGAAAAAAAAAAAGAGCAGCCTTGTTTTCTCTATTACCTCACATTGCATCAATCAGACAGTGATTCCTAGAAATACAAAAATATGTATAGTATATCTTAAACTGAGTGAGATATAGGTGCTAAAGAGAGGGGAAAAAAAAACATATGGGTTATTTCCTCAAAAAATATCTTCAGCATTCTTTTCCTGGAGAGTAAAGTAATTTTCTTAAGTGTGTATTATTCTGACTATTAATCAGAAAATGACTGAACTCTGGACAACAGCCTAATATTTGTTCTGCTTCACATTTTCTGTCTAAGATAACAGGGAACATGACTGGTGTCATTAGAAGTTGTGCTTTCACAAATCATGCAGACCTGTATTTCCTGGGTTAAGACTGAGAATTTAACCCAGCACTTTCAAACATGCATGGGCCAAGCACAAATGCTACCATGTATGGGACAAACACTATCTTTTCAGTGTGTGAAAAGGCTAAGCAGTTTTTTGAAATTTGGGTAAATTTTAAGAGCACTTCAGACATCCAGAGTTCAATGTGTATCAAATTTTCACACCATTTTAAAAAATCATACCAATTATCATATCAATATGCAAATTTTGTAAGTCTTTGATTAAGAAAATGGAAGGCTAGGATTTTTTGAGATATTGTCTTCTATTGAAAGAATATAATAAATGAGACCAATATTAAGTTTCATCTAGTATGTCTTTTGGACATTCATATTTTGGAGTATCTCACACTTTTTTGGGTAGGAAGAGATAAAGATCACGAAAGATGTGTTCAAATGCTCACAGTGAGGTAGCCATATAATTTTTTTACTGGCTCATTAAAACATTGTTCTCTGAAAGTGCAGGTGTTGATTAGATCAGGCAAATGCTCTGGTCGTGGGCAGTCTAGGTGAAGAGTCTTTGTCTTTTAAGAGCTGGACCTGCTTTCTGACCCAAATTAAAATTAAAAAATTCTGAGGAGGGTCAAACCCCAATGCATTAACCAAGAGTTTGATGGGAGGTGGCAGGTTTTACATTTACAAGTATGCATTACCTGCTGCAATACCAGATAAACTGGCTGTGCTGCATTGTAGGAGCCAAGCAGCCAGCAGCCCACAGATTTGGTAGCAGAAACCTGCCTTTCACCTCTAGGTTGTAAGTTTGATTTTGACCTATGTTGGTAATGAAAGCTGGTCTCTATAAAAGATATTGATGCCATCAATTATCAGTAGATAGGATTTCATATCACCAAGAAATAGTTACAGTTATTAATGATTTATCTTTCATCATGATGGATTAGTCAGGGAGCCAAATGGCCACTATGTGAAGCAGTAGGGAATTCCATTTATTACTAGGTGTGGATTTCCCTAATCAAAAGGAAAGTATAGCATAAATAGTAGATTTTCTGTCTCCTTCCTCCACAACAATATTTTAAAATAGTTCTTTAGGTGTTGCTTTTTTTATCTCATGTATTGCAGGTGGTAATTCTGCTGTGTTTCCAGTTCTCAGTATTATGGTTTAGAATTGCAGCTCTTCGGTGGTACATCAAATGTACTAAGAAAGTCTAGTATTTTATGTGAATGAAAATATTATGAAAAAAATCAGAAGCTCAGAAGAAAGGCACTCAAGAGTACTAATAGCATTGGGAAAGGTATTACAAGCTACAAGATTGCTAGTCTACTAATTCCACTGCTGGGGCTATGCCCTGGACATAAATTGCTTAAGGAATAAAACAAGAGCTATGACTATCTTCTGTACATTGAGACTAAATTATCCCTTGGTATAAATTTCATGGAAATGAATGGACTTGCTCTATTAGTTAATTTATATTACTCTGCTGGCCTTTCCACAACAGACCGTGTGCATGGAGAGCCATCTCCTATTACCTCTGTTGCCTTTTCCTTCAGAGATCAGAGAGATTTGTCCCAGTGTTTAGTTCTCAGCATGGGTGTTATTTTCCAGGGTCTGTGTGCATTTTTCACTACCATCGCACATTCCCATCACATAGCAGGAATTGCTGATAATTATCCTTTGCATTACTGTGGCTATTAGAGAGACGTTTCTAAACTTGGTGAACTGCTTAGTCTATGTACTTCTGCAGTCTTTTTGTTGACTGCGCTGCAGTCATAGGAAACCCCAGGCTCCTCTCTTAGGAAAGTGTAGCTTGTCAGATAATCAATTAAAATCCACTGGAATATTAACTAATATTAACCAGATTATTTTGCTTATTTCTGTGTTCAAGTGGTGTTTAATACTGCATAGCTCTCTACAGGAGAGATCCTCAGCTAAATTCATGCCCAAAGTTCCTTTCCTCCATAAGACCAGGGTCTGGTAATTCCAACTCCATCATGTTTTTCCTGTGTCTGCACAGTAAATTGAAGTTGTGTTTATTTACCAGTTGCAGCACTGCTGATATTGAACTGAACTTGAAAGACTTTTCCACGCCGATGGCCCCAGCGTGAAAGGTGAAACATAAATCTCAAATCTAGCACCAGGATTATTACATTAAGGGGTTGTATGTTTTCATGTTCACAGCTGAAGCGAAACAAAGATAAGGATGTTTGCACTTGCATATTTCAACTTAATATATTTTAATTGGCTACCATAAAATACATCAGGTTGTGTTAGAACAGCGTTTGTGCTCTCTGAAGTCCTGCTGCTCTTCTGGTACAGCAGCTTGTCTTTGCAATGCATTAGAATAGTGCTACCATTTCGGTGTCTGTAGTAACGACCTTTTCAGCGAGACAGCAGCTCAAACCCCCTGATATAGCGAACGCTTTATGTGTGCGTGTGTAAGCAGCATTTCAGTGGGTGTGGCACACAAGGATACGACACGGCTCCAGGTTTTCCTTTACACTGGCACTTTGGGGAAAGATGGTCACAAGCACCGAGGACAAGGTGGGGAGCATCTTTGGGGGCAGCAGCAAGAGCCGAGTCCAGCTCCTCCTCGCTCCTGAGCTGGAGGAGGGAGCGGCATTTCCCAAAGCACCGCTTCGGTGCCTCTGTCACTCGCACCAGGGGACGGGAGGCCACGGCAGGTCCTGCAGTGTGAGCCCACGCGTTATCCCTGGCAAGCCGGGCTGTCGAGGAAAGTGCTGCACGTCCTGTCATGCACACGCAGGGAAGACGAGATGGACATCCGGCCACTGGGATCTGCTCTCAGACCTCCAGACTGGACAAAGCCAGTCGGAGAACGGGAGAGAGGTGTTAGGAGGGGACGGATAGGGTCCTGATTCCTGCTGAGCCAGACTCGGGCAGCCCACGGCCCAGTGCTGTCAGTGGGAAAAATATGGATGTTTTATCGATCCTGGCAATCGATTATTTCAGTTCTAACCAGAGTTACAGCCAGCAGGTTAACGTGTGATTTTTGGGAGCGCGTCTGTCGCTGCCGCATGGCTCGTGTTTGCCAGGATTCACCCCAAAGCCGCCGCGCCGCTGTTCGCCGAGGGATGCCCGACATCCCATTCGTTCCTCGCTTCAGCCTCGCCGTCACCGCGCTCCCGCATTTATCTCGGGTTTCCCCGCTGCTGCTGAGGCCGCGGTTGGGAAGGACCCGGAGACCCCTCTGCCATGATGCCCAACCCTTCCCCGGCGCTCCCGCTTCCCGCTCCCGCTTCCCGCCCCCGGCACCGGCCCGGTGGGGGCCGCCAGGGGGCGCTGCGGCGCCAGCGGGGGGCGGGGCCTCGGCGGGGGGCGGGGCGCGCGCCTACGTCCGAGTTCCCAGGGCGGCGGGGCGGCCGCGCCGTGACGTCACGGTGCTTTCCCGGTGACGTCAGGCGGGCCCGCGCGCGGCGGTGCCGTGTGTGACGTCACGGTGCCGGGCCGTGACGCGGCGGCGCTGGGAGCGGGCCGGGGCCGCGCGCGCCGCCCGCCCCTCGCGCTACGGGTCGCGGCTGGGGCCGCCCCGGCGGCGGGGACGCGGCCGCCCCCGGCCCCGCCCTCGCCCCGGCGCTCCGGCCCAAGATGGCGGCGCTGAGCAGCGGCGGCAGCGCTGAGGGGGCCTCGCTCTTCAACGGGGACATGGAGCCCGAGCCGCCCGCGCTCGGCGCCGGCTACGCGGGGGGCGGCGGCGGGGACCCGGCCATCCCGGAGGAGGTGAGGCCGTCGCACGGCGGCGGCTGCGGCGCCCGCCCGTGGGGCCCGGGCCCGGCCGTGCCGTGCCGGGGGCGGCCCGAGCCGGCGGGGGCAGGAGCGGGGCCGCCCTGGACGGGGCACGGGGCGCGGGCGGGGCACGGGGACCCCCGGCCTGGTGCCCCCTGCGGAGGCTGCGGCCGGCGGGGGTTTGGTGCGGGGGCTTGGCCATCGGTTCCCCGCGGTGGGTTTGCAAACACTGGGAATGCATTTTGAACCCCCCAAGGCTGGGTTCGGTTCCCTCGGTGGACGTGCCCCGTCTTTGCACAAGGGGTCTGAGGAAATGTTGGCGGACGGGGCACTGTGGGGGCACGGAGGATGTCAGGCCTCTGGTTTGTGCCTTTCTTACATACTTCCTGTGTTTTTGGGGCTTATTACTTAACTTCCCAATCCCACGGAGGGCGAGCGGCACTACCTGTTTTGCCGGGGCTGCAGCGTGAGTTGCGAACGCTTCTGAGATGTTTTTTTCGGGAGGGGGAAGGAACAAACTGCGCCTTAACAACGCGAGGTGTTTTGCAAATCCAGGCACTGTAGGCATCCGAGCCAGACCAAATTGCCAGATGCCATGCACCGGCTCTGCTCCGGAGGGAAATGCAGACGCCAGGAGCTCTGCCGGTTTGTTCTGAACTCGCTGGGGATTATCTCAGCTCAGCTTTCCCTGGTGTGTCTGTGCAAGCCGTACGGGACCTCTCACCTGTGAGCGGTCCTGTGGCCCTGTGGGGGACCAAGCCCGCCTGCTGACCTCTGCTTTCTACCTCTAGCAGGCAAAAATGAGCTGGCTTTGATCAGCAGCTCTCAGGGGCGTCCAGTTTGATTCCCAACTCACCAAAGACAATTTTTTTTTAATCCATTTTATTTATTAACAGCATAGTGGGTTATAGTGGAATTAACGAGTTGAGAAGTTTGACAAGTACTAGAGCTCGTGCTGGGGAGATGGTCAGAAGGGAGAAACGGGGAAGGATTCCACCCCTATGGATGTTCAGAAGAAGTGAGATTGATTCCCTCATCTTAAGGAGTTACTTGCTTAAGGCAGGCAAAACTGAGCAGGGCACCATCTATTTTACACCCACCCAGCAGGGTGATTAAATGCCTTGAGTAATGTGACTCCAGTCCCAACTTCCCTGAGTAAGGAGAAACTCTCAGCTGGTTGAGAAACTGAAATACCTGAAGAGTGGGGTTTAACAAACACGCACTTTCAGCAGCAAAGTGGGGTTAAGAAGCTTCTCGTTGACTTGTGTTGCCCAGTTTGTGCTGGTGCAGCTGTGCACGGAATTTAATTTCTCGGTTATTTTCTGCCATAAAAAACAAATCTCTATGGAGTTACTCCAATAACTAGTTTATATTGTGGCCCTTGGAACAATAACATCAATACAGCTGAGCTGGTCGGATAAACTGCAATATAAGAGAGAAGAGAGGGAAAAGCAGTGGCAGGAGGCAGGATTTTTTTAAAAAATCAATTTTCATACCAAAGGGGGGGTGTTTGTGAAACTGCTGTAAGTCATTTGAACTTCAAAAATGTTTTACCCTGTGTCAGTCGTTAGATTTGATTCCAAATGGTAAATTACGTCGTGTGGCTGCTTCTGCCCCCATCCTGAATATCTTCCCCATGTGAGGGAGAGGGACAATCACCTGGAACACCTGCCAACCAGAAAGGGTGCAAGTATTTAGGAAGTGTGTGGGGATATTCTCGTATTATTTAAAAGCCAACTTCTTATTCATTGGAAATACTGAAACGCTCAGGTCTTAAGGCAGAGCTTGTTCTAGAGTTTTTATTTTCTGATGTGGTTTTGTTCTTTAGCTAGCTAGTTCTTCCTTGAGTTGTAAGTAATTAAGTTTTGTTTACTGTATAAGTACAGCTATTACTTCATTTAGACCTGTACCTTTAGTAAAGGTCAAGCCCAAAAAATTGCTGACACAGTTAAAATGGAAACTATACTTAATACTAAACCAAGTCAACAGAAAGAATAATGCAAATTCAAAGTGGCATAAGTCAGAAAAATAGTGAAGTGCTTTTAATTGACTCATGGCTCTAATGCAAATCCATGTTCTGGTGTTTTGTCTCAGTCCTTCAAGACAAGGTAAATCTAAGCTTTAAAAGTAACCTTGCTGTGGAAACCTGTCAAGGAGCATAACCTTAATGATTCTGAGGACATACCTGGAAACCTTTCAGTTCCTATAAGTCTTTAGGGAAATGCAGTCCTGATTCCCAGGAGGTAAGCCTTCAGTTCTACACCCAGTTTCTAGTTTTAAAAGGGGGCAGACAACAAGAATTTCTGATGGATGTTGAAGTTGTCTTACACTTGTAAGTTGGAGCCCTCTGGTAAAGGGGGTGCTCTGTATTGAGGTTGTAATCGAGTGCTCTGTGTTGGTTACAGCTACATCAGTGTCCCTTATGAATTCTCTGGGGCTTTGAAAAACAAATTTAAGACATATTGTTCAACTCAAATCGTGAATTTAGGGCTTTAGAAATTGCTTCGCTAGCCTAAGTGCCAATACTAAAAATCTTCTAATAATCATATAATAATTCTTATAATAAAGAGAATAGTAATTGCTAAAGCTTTTCCCTCCCCATATTACCATTCAAGGTTGGCAAGAGTAGTTGCTTGTGCGCTCATATGGGATATCTAGGAAATGAGTACTTGGAGACAGAAGGATCTGAAAAGGGTAGGGGCAAGTGGATTTACAGAACTTTCCCTCTTCCGCCCACCATTCGGTTGCTGGTGCTCGGAGGCCTGGATGTGAGCTGGCGTCCAGAGGCACATTGGTTGGCTTCTTCCCCAGGATGAATTCTTGGGACAAGAGATTGTTTGGATGGAAGGTTTTCAGAGTATTCCAGGGTTGTTGATATAGTAAGGAGTGTGTGACAGCTGGGAGGAAAGGTTCTGCTCTTGTTGCTAGAGATTATTTACACCAATATTAAATAATTCAAATGGGATTTTCTGTACTCGGAGCTTTATGCCCTGAACTGCTCTTTGTAAGACCAGAATTACTTTGAAGGCTGTGAAGTGAGGGCCTGAGCTGCTGGATGGTCGATCATTTTCTAGGCAGCAATGCTGGAATTTATCCTGCATGAATATTAGTTATAAATTTAGAAACCTTAATCCTATGAAACAGATTTAAGAAGAAGAAGAAAATGGAGAGTGGGTGAAAAGATATATAAGATGAAGATAGAATGAAAAGGCACCTCTAACCTTACAGTATGAAGTAAGTTGTGGGTTTTCATAAAATAATATAGATACACCAAATAAAACTGGGGCTAGTTTTGTTACAGTAATGTTTAGGGAACCTATTGTGTTGGGTATTAGAACAACTTTCCTTTAAAGTTTCTAGTTCTCAAAGAGTTTGCAGTTAAACATGCTACTTGTTTGGAAAGTTGAAACCACATGAGTGGTTTTTTACTTCACTACTTTATGTTTGATCTCAATTATGTTTACTGGCATTTGTGTTCAGTGATTGAGCTAACTTCACAGTCTGTGAATGACATCCTATTTAATTGTGAGGACAAGTTAAACTTGAGCTGGATGTAAAGCATCTTGTAGATAATATTCTGCAGTAGTATATCTCAAAAGATAAGTGAAATAATTTTTTTGTTTTGCATAGAACAGGAAAGGCTGTAGCTGAATACTATGTCTGAGTTTGGGTCCCAGCCTCAAGAAGTGCATGGTCTGGCTGAGGAGAGTCTAGAGAAGAATAATAAGTGATCTGAAGTCTAGAAGGTCAGAGCTTTGAAGAAAGACTGAAAAAAACCTGAGATTAAAAAAGAAACGGAAATTGTCAAATCTGTTGCAAAGAATCCAAATAACTCATTTGCCAGCTTGTGGCCATTACTGCCAGAAGTAGTGAGTTTGAATGGTAGCAGAGGAGATGGTTTCATGTTACTATAATTTTCCTTATGGCTAGGTACAGGGAAGCATTAAAATAGACTTTCTTAACTTATTCATAAAATGCCCATTAATAGATTATCACCTCCACAGGCAACCATATGTCAGGAATGATGGGGGAAAGTTTATTCAGGTATGGAAAAGACAATGACTTTGATAACCTCTCATCTTTTTTTCCTTGGGCTTTTTATGATTTATTTGTGGCAAGGCAGATAGAACGTTAGTACACAACCTTGAAATATCTGAGTTTATTTGGGATATTAAAGAGATTTCTGCTTATGATATTTTCCCCCAAAAGCAATAGGATTAACAGCTCTGTCCTGTGGTAGCTTGTTTGATTACACAAAAGTTGCTTAATAGAGTAGTGGCTCCTTCTGAAAAGTTTTGATGTCTTGGGAGGCTTGTTTCTTGTCTCTGTGGATATCCACAAACTGGTTGGGCACAGAATGTTTAGTACTGATTTTTTTTTTTGTTGATTTATGTTGTTGCTTAAGCCACTAATGCTATTCCCATTTGTATTTTGTTGTGTATTTTGTTTTAAACTCAAAGATCTTGTATTTTTAAAGCTGTTCTAATAATATCCTTCTTGACACTTGTGTAGTCAGGAATGGCAATTCTGTTGTTGCATGAAGTTAAAAATACTGTAGACCAAGTAAGATTTTGGTTTTGGTTGATTTTTTTTATTTTAAATGGAGATATCTTTGGATGGCAGCTAATTTCTAAAACAAACTGATAAACCCCATAGGTTTCCTTAAGGTTGCAATATTCCATTTCATTAATTTGTCACAAATCTATAGTTCGGTTTAATTAATTGTTACATCTATAGAAAAATTTGACTGCATGAAACATTTTGCAGGGAATTCGACTTAGAAGGAAGTCTAATTTTATTTGTACTTATAAGGGAAACAAAAGAAGGCTTCAGTTGATCATAAAATTTTTAACTGTTTTCCAGTCCAGCCTTACGTAGAAACTGTTGCAGGTGTAACAGGGTTGTGGATTTTTTTCTTGAGACGCACTCTGTCCAAGTGTAAGTTTTATTTTCAGTTTGAACCACTCGCTTGTGGAGGGTGGTGAGATGTATGG